TTTTATGACATTTTGAAAATAATAATAATAACTCGCAATATTATTATTGTTGTTATTGTTATTGTTATTATCATTATTGTTTTTTTATTTGTATAGCGCGCAATAGTGCAACGGCGTATATTATTGAATGTGATCCTTTGTGCTGGTTTTGGCGGGTCATCACTCTTCATTTTGGTCTTTCGGCTTTCTTCTTCTTCCTCTTCTTCTTTTTATTATTGTTGTTGTTGCTGCGGCTGTTGTTGTAGTTGTAATTATGGTTATTGTTAGAAAAAGCTTTGTTAATGTTTACGCTATTGTTGTGATGTTATTGAAGTTCTTGCATACGTCATCGTCCGATCGACCAATCATAATCGTTCCATGTTGTTGTTTGCAGTTGCAATTGTCGATGTTTCTACGTAGTCGTTCATTTATAGTTTATAGTTAATAAATTTATGTTTATTATTATTTTATTATTATTATCATTGTTGTTGTTGCTGTTATTGTTAATATTATTGTGGTAGTTGTTTCACACGGAAATAATGAAATGTTTTTCAATTACATTAACCGTTACATGACACATCTGCTCAATCAAAACCTAACAATGACGCACTGAGACACACTCACGCACGCACGCACACACGCACACACACGCAGCACGCGTATACATATACACACGCACCCACACACGCACACACACACACAAACACTCAATATTATAGCAGGAACAAACTTGCAAACATACAAATAAATGAAGAAACTTGACGGCAAGCACACGCACACAAAGACACGCATACAAAGACACGCATACATACACACGCATACATAGACACGCATACAAACACACGCATACATACACACACGCACTCTTTAGCCATGTTTGCATAAATACATACACAATACAAGTTGCTTTTGTGTATGATGATGATGATAATACTGAGAATACTGTGATAGAAAATGGGGTTGATACAGGATACTGATACTACTGCTGATGAAGATGATAGCGATATCAAAGATAATGATGACGAAGATGACGATGATGATAAGGATGATGATGATAGCAAAGATGAAAAGATAAGATGATGACACGAGCAGAGCCGACTGGGTGGTAAGATTTTTTTTTTTAATCTCTTCATGTTTTTAAGTGTCGCTGAAAATCATTGAACTTGTGCATGCATAAGTGCTTGTTTCAATTTTCAATCATCATTTCATTCTTTATCTTCATCATCACTATCAACAATCTATCATCATCACCATCATCATTATCGTCGTCGTCGTCATCATCATCACTATCAACACCTTCACTTTCATCATCATCATCATCATCGCCATTGTCATCACAGTTATCATTATCCTTGTCATCATCATTCTCATCATCATTATCATCATCACCATCATCATCATCATCAGCAGCAGCAGCAGCATCATGAATGTTTCGAGTGTTGTTACTTTTCGACCAAATTATATACTTCCTCCTAATTTCCGCCAGCATACGCAACTCCACGTACGTGCACGTACACTATACACGCGTACAACAAACAAACATACACACACATATACACATACAAACATACACACGCATACATACACATACAAACATACAGACAGACAGACAAATATATATGAGCACATGGAAAATATTCAATTCAATTCAATCCAATTCAAAAATAGCTTTATTCAGAAAAATCATCTATCAACTTGTAGGGCCACCTATACACAATAGAAAAGGATTATGGATAGTAATAAACATAAACATGAAACTAATTCTATTATAAACAAAATATAAAAATAATAGATGATGAGAAAGGAATTCTTTTAACTATACACTAATAATAATAATAAAACATTTTCGAGTAATATGAAAATTAAGACAATAAAACTAAATGGTCGAGTTGCTATATTAAAAATTAATCAAGAAAAGTAATTTGAACGAACCAATTTGTTAATTATAGTTTATAAGAACATAGAGTCAATGAATTCTTAGCATATATTGGCAGTAAATCCCAAAGATGCATTGATAAAGAAAGTACTGAATTTATATAAAAATTTGACCTGGGTTTAGAAAAATCAAAATCAAAATTATATCTCAAGGATCGAGTATTATGGTTTTTAAATATGATAATTTGCTTATGAAGAAACGGACAAAAATTAAGTTTATATAATTTAAAAAAGAAAATTAAAGAATAAACAGTGTGTAATTGACTTACATTTAAAATATTTGCCATATTATAATAATGGCTAACGTGATCAATTCTATTTAATTTAAACAAAATACGCAAGAAAAAATTTTGATTAAGAGTTAACATATGAAGATTGGACTTCGAACTACAACCCCAGACAGGAATGCAATAAGTTAAGTAAGGCAAAATGAGAGAATTATATAATGACATTAAAGTAAAGATAGGAAGTCTAGATCTCAAACGATAAATTACACCCAGATTTTTGGATAGTTTGCTAGATATCCACCTTATATGATCAAACCAATTCAAATTACTAGAGATAACAACACCCACAAATTTTACAGAATATACTCTTTTAATTAATATATTATTTAGTACTATGATAGGATAATAAATGTCTGTACGAATTTTAGGACCAAAAAAATAAATAAAGTTTTGTCCAGGTTAATTCTTAAGTTATTAGAAACAACCCAATCATAGACATGAATTAATTCATCATTAATGGTAGAAACCAATAAATCAAGATTAGAATGCGAAAAAAGTAAAGTAGTATCGTCGGCAAAAAGTACAAATTTTAAAACACTAGAAGAGTTAATAAAGTCATTTATAAAAACATTAAATAATAGAGGACCCAAAATAGAACCTTGCGGAACACCTGATGCAATAGAAGACAGTTGAGACGCAGAATTATTAATAGAGATATATTGATAACGTTCATGCAGATAAGAATAAAACCATTTATAAGCTATTCCTCTTATACCGTATCTAGATAATTTATTTAGTAAAATTTTATGATCCAATGAGTCAAAAGCCTTACAGAGATCAATAATAACGCCAATAGAGAATTTTTTAGACTCAAGAGCAAGAGAAACATAATTTATTACGTCAACAATAGCAAATTGTGTAGATTGTTTAGGACGAAAACCATACTGATTAGAGCAGAAAATGTTATTAGAATTTAAAAAATTAGAAAATCTATTATGAACAATTTTTTCAATAAGTTTGGCTAAACTAGAAATAATAGATATAGGTCGGTAATTATTAATAATATGCCCATTACCAGATTTAAACAAGGGTATAACCCTAGAAATCTTTAAACATTTAGGGAAATAACCATTATTAAAAGACAAATTTATTAAATGTTGTAAAGGAATAATAATATTATTAAAAGTTTTTTTTAGTAAAAAGTTTGAAAAACAATCATCACCCGAACTATAAGAATTTTTAAAATTATTAATAGAATCAATGATTTCAAGGAAGGAACAATCAAATAAAATAAAAATGTTTGAAACATGAACATCCAAATAATTACGATAACCATGACTAACATTTTCACCCCCTAATGAATGACTACAATTAACAAAATTAGAAAAATAGTTGTTAAAATGGTTACATAAGCTCAAGTCATCTTTTATTAACTCGTTATCCACAGTAATATTGTAAGATTGAATTTTTTTCATACCCATACATGGCTTCAATAAATTCCTGGTACCTTTAGCATTATGCCTATTTCTATTAAATTGATCCCTAAAATACATGTCTTCTGAAACTCTACATAATTTTACAAAAATATTTTTGTAATTTTTATATAACAATTGGTCAGACAAAGATTTTGACTGTAAGAACTTCTTATAAAGTTTATTTTTAACAACAGAGGAAATAACCAAACCCTTGATAATCCAGGGTTTTTTCTTGCGAGTTCGTTTATGAGTTGCTAAACAAAATTTAATAACAGCTTGTTTAAAAATATTAGAAAACAATTCAAAAGCTGTATCAGTGTCTGAACAACTTAAAACAACATTCCAATCAAAAGTCTTTAGGTAATGGTTTAATTTTGCAATGTTGTAACACTTATAATTAAGTGATTTTGTATAAGAATTAGAGGGATTATTTTCAAACGACAGGACAAAAGATGTAAATACAGGAAAATGATCAGACAAAGAAGAATAAATTACACCTGATTTATGAGAACTCAAATTATTCATGAAAATATTGTCGATTAATAATGAATTAGCAATAGTGACACGAGTAGGAACAGAAATTAAGGGAATAAAATTAAAGGCGTGAAATAAATTAACAAATTGAGTAGAAGTATTTCTATAGTCACATTTTAATAAGTCAATGTTAAAGTCACCAATAAAATATATAAATTTAAATGAATCAGATTTAATTTTTGATAATAAAGTACATAAATCATTTATAAATAACATAGGATCAGAGTTAGGAGGACGATACATAACATATATCAAGCAATTTAAATCACCATTAATAAATACTTCAACTGCTAGTAATTCAAAAGTTGGCGATAAATATAAGTCCTCGCGGATAACATATTAAAGGCAATTAATAACGAACAAACCAACACCACCACCAATACCATCTACACGATTCTTGAAAGCAAAGTCAAAGCCAGGCAAGTTAATTAAATTAGCATTGTCATTATGCAACCATGTTTCAGTTATAGCTATTAAATGAAATTTATTATTACAACATTCAATTAAAGTGCCTATTTCAGTCATTTTATTAATTAAACTCCTACTATTAATATGAATAATCGAAAATACACCTGCGTCAATAAATGGTTCAACCTCCTCTGGCGACAGAAGAGGACAGTCCCGATTAACATTATTTAGCAAGTTATCATCTGGATCAATATCACTAAGGAAAGAGTCAGAGTTAACATGAATATTGGATTAGTGGTTAAGATGTTCGGAATCATGGTTGTGATCCATGATTGAAGATCTTATTTTTCAAGTAATCATAATCCCACTCATGTAAGAAGTTATACTTAGGCCAAATTTCTGGATTAAGTAATTTTTATCATTCGTCCTTAGGCAGAATTATTTAAAATGCTGTTGACTGTTGTTGTGTATTTTTATCGAATTCAGTTGCATCGTCAGTTTTGCGTTTGCGAAAAACTGGAAAGCAGTGTATGAATAAAATATTATTGCTTTTCAGAAGATTCTCGATAACCTCTTTTTTGCAAGATTCGACATTTCCTAAGTAATACGTAGCTCTTTTTTCAATTGTCTTAGAGGACTTTAAAGGACAGTTGTTGCCAGCATCAAAGGTTTTTATCGACGAGCGTTTCATAGCAGGTTCGTTATTACTAGGTTGACCTGGCTGAGAAGAAGATAAGTTATTTTTTCTTTTTTTTGATTTTACTAATTGAAAACCATCGTCAGCATCCATTGGTAAAGTTTTTTGAGAACTAAATTTGAATTTGAGTTTGAATTTGAAAATTTGAGATTTTGAATTTGAGATTTGAGAATTTGAAAATTTGAGAATTTGAGATCAATTAAATTTTTTTGAATAACTTCATCAGTATCAATTAATTTTTCTTGCATAACTTTATCAGACCAAAGATTTGAAGTATTATTTTTTATGTCGCGTGCATTTAACGTTATTGGAACGACATGCTGAGAGTGCACAGTAGAATTGTTCAACTTTAGGTTATTTGCTATTTGTGCAATCTCCGTTATACGTTTATTTAAATTAGTTTTCAATGATTTAAATTTTAATTCAAATAAATTCAGAAAATGTTCTAATCTTGGTTCCGGGATTTTCGAAAAATCTGCAGCGACATAAGTTGGTAAATCCACTTTCTTGTCCGTGCAAAATTTAACAATATCAATAATGTCTAACAACTTGTCATATTTGTTGTTAGCTCTCTGTGTAAGTTTAAAACAAGAATTATCCGTTTTGGAGTTTTCCAGATCATTCAGAAGAACTTTTTTACCAGTATTAAATTCGTCTAAATTATAGAACTGTTTCACACTATTTATAAAAGAAACATTTTCCAACGAGCTTAAATTATTGAACAAATAAAATAAAAGTTCATTAATTTGAACCGCACGTGTCGACGCCATGATATATATATATATATATATATATATATATATATATATATATATATGTATATATATACATACTGTGTACCTCGCCAATGGTTCTCCAATAGCCAAACGATTTTACACCGGTCAATCAAATATATTTTTTATAACTAATTTTATCAGTACTTGGAAAAGAGTTGATGGAATAACGATGCTTGTATTTGGACACGTGTATCTGCTGCCACCTATCCGAATACACGTGTGTGAGTTTGCGTGTGTGTGCGTGTGTATACGTGTGTGTGTGTTTGCGTGTGTGTGCGTGTATGTGTGCATTTAGCTACTTCAAATTATCGAATACTTATTGTGAAGTCATGTTAGCTTTTTATCGCTCGCCAGCTGAATTACCGAGTCTTTGGTTCAAAGATAAAAAATTTATTTCAACTGACATTAAAGTGTTTATGCTCGAACAGGAAATTGTTTTTCTACTTTAAGTGTATGTTTGCATGTTTGTCTTATGTCTGTCTGTCTTTGTTCTTAAGTTCGTTCGTTCAAATATTTGTTTGTTCTCCGTTTTTGTATGTTTTTGCTTTTTAAATATATGTTTGTATGTTGCGGTCGTGATGGCAAGTTTTATTTTTTCAAATTTCTACGACGTAATTTCACGTTTATAGGTATGCTCACACGCACGCACGCACACACACACGCACGCACGCACACACACACGCACACACAAACACACACGCACACACGCAAAAATATATATATATATATTTATACACACACAACGGTACATGTTGTACAATAACAACCAGCATGTCTGAATCTTTTAGTTTGTATTTTGCAGACCAATGCATCAAATTATGTTTGTTGCTCATGTGGTTTTGTTTTGATGTGAATTTAACAATTTGGTATTGGTATTGTTGTTTGTGCTGTTTGTTTGTTTGTTCGTTCGTTCGTTTGTAAGTGTGTGTGTTTGTGTGTGTGTGTGTGTGTGTGTGTGTGTGTGTGTGTGTGTGTGTGTGTGTGTGTGTGTGTGTGTGTGTGTTTACCTTGTTTGTGGGTGATTGCATGTCAACATTGAAAATTGATCTTGAATGAGTTGTTCGTGTGGGTCGTGTGTGTTGCTAATGCTGTTATTGTTTTTGTCGTCATTGTCGATGATGACGTCACGGCTTTTGATGTTGATGTTTTTGACGATGTTGTTGTTGATGTTGTTGTTGATGTTGATGTTGATGATGATGTTGTTGTTGATGATGATGTTGTTGTTGATGTTGTTGATGGTGTTGTTGTTGTTGATGTCGTTGTTGATGTTGTTGTTATTGTTGTTAGTAATCAAGCTGTTTATATAGTTTTTCGCTATGTTTTCATCGATGGGTTTGCAATTTTGAATTATCATAAAAGTTATTGTAATGCCGAACTTACCATGAAGTTAACACTAACTCGAAGAGCTGATGTGATTGCATTGTTTGCTCTACTGAATGGGGCGAGTCGATGTTGTTTGTTGTCCCCAGCAGCTGTCAATCATTCGATGACAGATCGCGGTTTTTTCTGTCATGTTCTTCTGCTACTGTTACACGTCGTCGTTGTTGTTGTTGTTGATGTCGGCGTTTGTTGTTGATGTCGTTGATGAGTTTTATTGATGTTGTTGATGTTTATTGATGTTATCATTAATAATATAAGTGATTACATCACGATGATAACAAGAAGTAAACAATAGTGTTTGTTTGTGGTAGTAGCAATGTAGCTGCTGTAGTAACTGAAACAGCAGCAGCAGCAGCAGCAACAGTAGTAGTAGTAGTAGTAGTAGTTGTAATATTAGTAGTAGTAGTAGCGGTACATTTGAATGGCAGCTGTTTTCGTTCAACGACAATGACTACACCTGTCTTTTCAAACACAGACACGAACGATACCAACGAGAATATGATTATATTCTCATTATCGACTGTTTGCTAAGTTCGTTTGTTCGTTCGTTTGTTTGTTCGTTCGTTTGTCTGTTCGTTTGTTTGTTCGTTCGTTTGTCTGTTCGTTCGTATGTTTGTTTGTTTGTTCGTCTGTTTGTTTGTATGTTTGTAGTTCGTACTTTGTTGTTATTTCTATTAGTTTATAAATTTTATCCAGTTATTCATGGTTCCCGTTCTACTTGCTCCCATCTCATGATATCGTTTGAATGTGTTTATTGGAGTGTGTCTATTGGTATTGGTTGTTGTTGTGTGTGTGTGTTTATTGGTGTGTATCGGTGTGTGTTTTGTGTGTATAGGTGTGTGTGTTTATTCATTTCATATAGAATTTAATACTGTGTTTGTTTCGCATTTAACAATTTTACCGTTAGAATCATTTTTTTAGAAATATAGGTTTGTGTGTCCGCTTTAATCATATTTCTTCAATGCATACTTCTTTTTTGGTCCTTTCATTCATTTTTACGTTCATTCAATCGTTCTTTTATTCATTCGTTCGCTCGCTTGTTCGTTCGTTTGTTTGTTCGTTCGTTCCTTCAATGAGCAAATTTTCAATGTATATATGTACAGTAAGAATGTAAACGACAACACTGTTGATAGCCATAAATGCAAGAAACTTGAAATCGATAAATAAAAATAATAAAAATATAATCGTAATATAAAATAATAATAAAATAAAATAAATAAATAATAATAACAATTTATCTTTCTCTACGTCGTCATGTATGTCACCATCGAGGTATGGAGCAGTTGAATGTATGAGTAATATTGCCAGTGCATTTGTCTTAATTATGTCATCCAGCTTATGGATTTTACGATTAATTTTGCAATTTCATCTCGTCCGTCGTTTTGTGTGTGTCGTTCTATTGATGGTTGTACGTGTGAGTGTGCCTGCGTGTGTGCGTGTGTGCGTGCGTGCGTGTGTGTGTGTGTAAGAGACTGTGTATCTGTGTGTCTATAAGTTTGTAAGGGAGTGTGTGTGAGTGTGAATGATTGTTGGTAAATTTGTGTCGGTGTGTTTGCTGTTTATAGAAAAATATATATTGGTGTGTTTTTATGTGTGTATGTGTGTGTATATGTGTGTGTGTGTGTGTGTGTGTGTGTGAGCACGCGTTTATTTGTGTGTATATATTGGTGTGTGTGAGGCAAACAGATTTTGAAATGATTTAAAAAAAAACATGTGAAAATTTACTAAGTCGAAAATGTAAAAACTCCTGGTTTGAAAAAATTATAAAATATATCTGCAACATTTATCATACTTAGAAGCAGTAATTGAAAAATTAAGCAGGAGAGAAAACTTGGAAATGGAAAAGAATCCAAGGATGGGCTGAGCGTAGCGAGGAAGAAGAATATTACTTTGGCTATTATTGCATGTATGGCTTACTTTCATCTTATGATTTATTAGCATACGTACATACAAACACACACACACACACACACACACACACGCACACGCACACACACGTACACACATACACACATACATACATACATACATACATACATACATACATACATACATACATACATACATACATACATACATATATACAATGTTTACTGACAAACACTCGACTTTTTCTGCAGTGTTTGTCGTCATGTTAGTGTTTGTTAATCACATGAACGACTCGAAATGAGTTTGTATCAAAAATACTATATACTACGTGCATACATGTTCATACATGTTTATGTGTGTTTATTACTGTATGTTTATGTTTTCTTTGTTTATGTGTGTTTCTATTGCTAATGATTTTTTCACGTGAAAATGTGTTGAAAAGATGTTATTAAAGTTACAGATGTCAAACATAAGATTCCATGACCTACCGTAACACACAAACAAACACACACGTATCATCATCATCATTATTATTATTAATAGCTCGATATAAAATTAAACACGCTGATAAACAAACAATTGTACTTTCATTGAAACATGAATACAGTCACATCCGCAAATAAAAAAATTGTAAACCAACAAACATACACAAAACAACAGACAGAAACACACACACAAACACACACACTGACACACACATAAACAAAACAAACAAACACTCACACATGTATGCGTATTTACAAATCTATAAGTTTTGTATATATACAATGATCAAAACATAGAAAAAAAACATACATATATTTACATAACTCTATAGAGAAAAACAAAAGAAAGCATTTTGACATATAAAGAGACATCATGACATAATTGCATACATCATCATATTGTTTGCATTGCCCAATGCAAGAGAAAGCCATGAAAACATTTTGTATTTTATTCATTTTAGTATTTTCTCCGTCTTTCATTCATTAGTTCTTCGTTTGTTCATTCGCTCACTCATTCGTTCCTTCTTCTACTGTTTGCACGTTCGTTCGTTCATTCAGTTAGTGTGTTTGTATTTTTCGTCAATTTATAAAATAATTAATTTATTTTCCAATTTATTAAAAAATACACAAACACATTTGCATTTATACAAATGTATGTATGTATGTATGAATGTATAAGTACCCATGTTTGTCTGTGTAGAATGTGCATCATAAAATTTGTTTGCAAAAGACTTAAGTCACACGTGTTGAGCAAATGTTTGTTTGTGTGTATACACACACGCACGAAACACACACACACGAAACACACACACACACACGAACACACACAAACACACATAGGCACACAAACACACACATATATATATATATATATATAATGTTTATTTTGCTTGGAGATTATATGTTTGTATGCGTGAATTGTATAAGTGTGTTTGCCCGTATCATGTTTGTATTTTTCTCATGAGTTTGTATGCTGGTTTGTATGTACTCTTGAATGTATGTTTGCATATTTGTATGTATGTATGTATGTTTGTAGATACGGAGGGTTCATTAAGTCCGTAAAACATTCAATCGATCAAACCATCAGCATCTTTTTACATTTCACATTTTGATGAATTAAAATTTAAAATACAATTTTTAATTTTAAAAATATTTTTGCAAATTTTGTATTTGAATTTGTAGTATATATAATAATTAAATTTGCGGTATATGTATGTTGAAATCGTCGCGAATACATTTATAATAATTTAAAATTTTGTTTTATGGTATTCAGGTATATATGAAAATTCCATTTCATGATATTATTAGTAGATGAATACTACGTTTTAAGAAAAATATTTTCCATAATGAATGAGAAATATTATTAATTTATAAGTTTTGTTCTTTAGTCGTCTTTAGAAATTTTCTGGAAAAATAAAAACAAAATGTTTTGCTGGAAGGGAAATAATTCTCTGTACGAGCATTTTGTTTTTGTCTTACAATTCACGCTAACAATTGTCTAATTGTTAACATTAATGCATTTCTAAACACATATGAACAATTTTAAAATATGCATGTGTGCCAAGATGTATGTGTGTATGTATGTTTGTGTGAATGTGTGTATGTGTATGCGTGTTTATAGGTTTGTATGTGTGTGTGTGTGTGTGTGTGTGTGTGTGTGTGTGTGTGTGTGTTTGTAGATACGTATGTGTATGTATGTGTGTGTGTGTGTATGCGTGCGTGGGTGGGTTTGTAAGTATGAATGTATGTATGTGTGAGTATGTATTTTTGTTGTTTTAATGAGAAAATAAACAAAAAGATGAATGAATGAATGAATGAATGAATGAACGAACGAACGAATGAATGAATGAATGAATGAATGAATGAATGAATGAATGAATGAATGAATGAATGAATGAATGAATGAATGAATGAATGAATGAATGAATGAATGAATGAATGAATGAATGAATGAATGAATGAATGAATGAATGAATGAATGAATGAATGAATGAATGAATGAATGAATGAATGAATGAATGAATGAATGAATAGATAAATAAATAAATATTTCTTAGTTACTCCATACTTTCTAAACATTTAAACATTAAAGGATTAGTTTTATTGGTTTGCACTGTCCATTCGATTGTGTTTAGTTTAGTTGATTTCCATCACTGTATGTTTGTTTTTTGTTTGTATGTATGTATGTATGTATGTATGTATGTATGTATGTGTGTGTGTGTATGTGTGTATGCATGTATGAATGTATGTCGCATGTATGTTTGCATCTGGATGAAGCGGTGTGGTGGTACCTGATTTTTATACGCGTTTGTATTTCGGGTATTTCGTGTATCCTGTGTTGTATTTGTTGTATATGTTGTGTATATATAAAATGTTGTACGTTGTCTATATATACAACACATGTATGTTGTAGGTTTTGTATATATGCAGTATGTTGTATTTTTTGTATTTATACAACATGTTGGTTGTTTTATATATATATATAAATGTTTTATATACATTATACAACTACAAACATATTAACGCCAAACATTCGGTAGAATTTATAGAATATTGTAAAATATATATATATATATATATATATATATATATATTCTCTGTAGATTTTTTAATAGTGCTTATTTGTATGATTGTTTGTCTATGTGTATGCATTTTTTATTTTTGTATTATTACTTATATTTGTATGCTATTGTATGTGCGTGTGTGTATGTATGTATGTGTGTGTGTGTATAAGTGTGTGTGTGCGTGCATCATATTACATGGGCACATGTGCCTGCTTGAACATGAATACCGCGGAATGACTGAGCGAATAAAATGATGGATGAACAAATAAATGGCTGATTGAATGAGTAAAGAGATAGATGGATGGAAGAAAATTTTTATTTTTGAATTTTTCATGAATTCAATACCCTGGAGAAACTTTAATTAAATTTAATGCGATTTGACTTTATGCGCTTGAATGTATGTATGTATGTATGTATGTATGTATGTATGTATGTATGTATGTATGTATGTATGTATGTATGTATGTATGTATGTATGTATGTATGTATGTATGTATGTATGTATGTATGTATGTATGTATGTATGTATGTGTGCATGTATATGTGTGTGCGTGTGCATGTGTGTGTTTATTCATAAATCCACACGTGCACGTACATGTTCATCAATCAACAGCATGTTAATTAATCATTGAAACATAGACGTCATCTGTCATAAAGTTTTACCATTCTTACGCCTATGTTTCCTGGCTATGGGCATCATTTTTCTTTTGTTGTTGTTGACTCGTTTGAGAAAATTTTTTGCAAACAAGTAACCGTAGCAACAAATACATACACAAAAAACATGCTAACGTTTGTGTGTGTGTGTGTGTGTTTGTGTGTGTGTACATTTCTCATTTCAGCGTGCGGTGTGTATTGCCAAAAATCATCCAAATATAAATTACACGAATTAATGAATGAACAAAACAAACAAACACACACAATGAATGAACAAAACAAACAAACACACACAGACGTGCAAAGCCACAGTTCTTCAATATCGATTAGGAAAAAGCTTCTTTTCTTTTTCCGTCGTTCATTATCCTCTCTCTCCCCCTCTCTCTCTTTCTTTTCTTTCTTTTCTCCATTTTTTCCCTCTTTCTTTCAATTTGTTTTTCTCCCTGGTCTCTTGCATTTCAATTGATTTTCAACTCCTTTTTATAAAAATTTCAAAAATTTATTTAAAAAAAAGATTAAAAAACGAAAAAGTGCATTAGACATGCAAGTGCATGTACACAACACACCACAGGCACACACACACAAACACATGCAAACACACGCAAACAAACACGTACATACATACATATATTTTTCAATATTCACTGATATTCATGAGTGTTTAATATGCATTTTTATGGTGTGTGTGTGTGTGTGTTGTGTGTGCGTGAGTATGTGTGTGTGTGTGTAATGTGTTGCTACTATTTAATGATGCAGAGGTTTATGGAGAAAATTTTTTAGCGCAATATTAAGATTGCTTTGATGAAAAATTAATAATAAAAAAACTATAAACTTGTATGCAAAGAATGAACATTCACTGACGCGCACACACACGCGCGCACACACATATACATAAGAAGGTAGGTATATGTATAAATTATGAAGAAGAATTTTATTCAGACCCGTGTGACAGAAAAATGAACAAGGGAGTACTTATCTTATCTCTCTCTTTTACACTGCTGGAAACATCTTCTTTAGCGGATTTCTTGTTAAATATTAATTCATATTTACTGACTTCTGATATTGTTTAGAAGCGTAGTCTTTATTAACATTGGTAATGCTAAATGTTTTAAAAAATTACTGACTGTGATCAATTTTTTGTTATCAGTTTTTAAAAATTCCAACAACGAATTTTCGATTTTCTGCTCCTTTATGAATTCCTCCTTTATTTTTGTCCATGTTCTACCTAGCCAAGATTTTCATGTTTGCCAATTTCGTCAAGGACATCACTGAAATCGATAAAGGGTTTTGTTGAACTTGGTTTACCTAGAGCTGTTACTCTATATTCATGTTTTGTTGTTTATTATAGAACTCTGACATACGCAGAACTACTAAGTGCTTAGGTTACACGACATTGCCATTCCTATTTTTAAACCTTCGTGCCACAAGGGCTCTACCATCCACACCACACGACGCATCACACACGCATGCCATTTGGCAATCTTATAGCTTCGGACAGACAGAAGTCGTAAATGCACGTAAATGCACGAGATAATGTACTTTTACGGAGGCCCTTTTGAAACACCCATTTCCTCGTTGTTTTCTTTCTTTAATAAGCTTACATAAAGACAAATGCGTAATAGATGTCATGTATTTATTATATTTAAAAAAAATCATAAATTGCTTCAAGTTCAATGATCATGCAAATGCTCTCTAGTCAACGTTAATTTTAAATTTTATAGTTCAATTTCTCTATGTATTGAATGCAGGTACTAAATGGTACCATATGAATGTGCACGTTGCAATATTGGTTAACCGTAACAAGTAACAAAGCAAAAAAGCGTGTTATGCTCGCAAATTTCTCTAAAGTTTGAAATTGATATTTTTTTAGATTAGTCGATTAGTTTTGGGGTCAACATTTTATTTAACTTATTTAACATTTATTTGTTTATTTTATATAACTTTTATTTTACGATCTTCTAGGCTTTAAAGTATAATATTAATAATTTTAGTTTAGATATTTTAATTTAATATTTTAATATTATATTATAAATAAAAATCAAACATTAAATAAATTAATTAAATATTCGGCAAACGTTGAAAAATATTCTTATTCTGAATATATATTAAGAAATAGATCTGCCATCTGAAAAATGTCTGATTCAACTTTAACGGATAAGAAGAAACTGCGAATTACGACATATATGTGTCCAGATTATCCAGAAGGTCTGTACCAGGTTTACAAAGAATTCTTTGAACATTGTTTGGGTGTAGAATGTGAGTTGAACATCATCAATTCGCATGCACATGATGAAAGCCCCTTTGCTAAGGACATAGCTGATATTGGTTGGTTGTGGTTTTTATTTAATTTTTTATTCTCTTCTAAAATTAAAATTAAAAAGGTGCTTTTGATTTGAATCTGTCTAGAGATCTAATAAATGAAATGAACATTCAGTAACTAGTGTACAGTACATACATACACGTACTGACATATATGAGGAATCACAGCTCACCAACTAAAAATAGTTATATTTTGCCTAACCACACACACATACAGTCTTCATGAGTTTGGTGTCCTACGTAAAGATCCTGCAACAACAGCAGCATGATGGACCAGTCCTTTGTGATGCACTTCCCGTGGCTCCCATCTTTGACCTCATACGTCATCGAGATGATCCCAGATCCTACTCTGAGATCATTATTTTGAGTAGTAAAAAGGACCATGTGAAATCATTCGATGATCTGCGAGGTCATAGATGGTCAGTTGTAAATGACAGGTCCTTGGTCCTCTATGAACTTTCCAAGATGGGCCATTATTCAAGTTTCTTCAGCTTCATAATACACACAAGTTTGTTGATGTCGTTCTTATGCTAATGTAATTTTTATCACCTGTAAGAGTTGAATATTTTATTTTAGTACTGTCATTTTTTGTAACCGTCTTTGATGTTATTTTATTTCATATAAAAGTCGATATATACTAACACAACTATAACCCGCCTGCCTGCTAGATAACGAAAGAGAAGCAATCAGGTCGGTGTTGGAACACTCATCTGATGCTACCTCAGTTGATGCGGCCATCTTGAAAAGTTACTTGGACCAGTATCCTGATTATGCCAACAAACTCCACATCCTCAAAAGCTGGGGACCGTACCCTCCGGAGCCCATTGTTCTCAGCAACAATTTATCTTGTTCGTTGGTCGCTTTGTTGTTTTTTCTTTGTTGCTTTGTTCTTTGTTTGTTGCTCTTTCATAAATTTTGTATATGGGATACAATCAATTTTATCAATTAGGGATGTTTCATTTGTATATCTATCCATCATAAAGCACTTTTCTAAGTGTAAAAACAAAGTATTATATATGCATGACACAAACAACCAACAACCAGATGTTAATCAACCATTCGATCAATTAACCATTCAATCAATTAACCACTTAATCAATTAACCATTCAACCAATTAACCACTCCTCAATCAATTAGCTGTTCAATCAATTAACATTCAATCAATTAATTATTCAGTCAATTAATTAATCTTGACAGCTGAAATAAAAACCAAACTTGTATCTTCACTGATGAACATCAAGCAACACCATCCTGAATTCGCCAGCAAGTTTAGGAAGCACAATGTCACCGGGTTCGACTGCATCGATGTACACAAATTTCAGGAGATGGCCGAGTCTCTGAGAAATGCTGAGAGGATGAAGATGCGTCCCGTCTATTATTAGTGCGTGCATGCATGCACGAATCAGTGAATTGATGCATTCATGGATTAGTGAATTGTTGAGTGATTATGTGAGTTGATGAGTTATTGAATGGGTGATTTGATGAATGATTGAATGAGTGAATTGATGGATGTTTGAATGACATGGGGAGTGAATTGATGAATGGTTGGGCGATTGAATGAATGATGAGTATGAGTGAATCCATAAATCATTAGACGATGATAAATAAAGTATAAATGGAATAGAGTTGTTGTTCGTTTGTTCATCTCATTCGAATTGACGTCATGATATTATTTAAACTCATTCTTCCTCCCCGCACTTGGCCATAACTCTGCACAGACATATCTCTACAATTATTTTATCATAATAATATTTTATTATTATAATTATAATAATTTTATTGGATAATAGTATTAACTATTAGATTTGGCGAAATAATTTTAGAATTAATTTATTAACAGTTCCTGTTCAGTATCTCGTTTTTAGTGTGTGTATATTCGTGTGTGTGTGTGTATGTGTATGTGTGCGTGAGTCTGTGTGCGTGTGTATAATCTATACTGATGTTTTATTTTCATTTGTTTTTATCATGTCGCGATTGCAGTTGTAAAAATTTTTTAACTTTCTCGTAACCACCTGTTATATTTACATGTGGCACAATTCAGAACATAATGATTTGACAATCATCTCTGCGCCTCTAATAAGATTGATAGTTAGATATATGTGTGCGTGTGCGTGTGCGTGCGTGTGTGCGTAGGTTGATAGGTTGTCTGGTTTAGTCTGTCTTCTGGGTTATTGACTCGTTAAATTTTTTATTAACTTTTCCTTACCGTATCGTGTGTGTTCTTTCCAAAGTGTGATTTGCCATTGAATCTGCTGTACCCCTGGTGATTAGTTCACCACTTTCTGAAAGTGAAAGATTTATTTTTGAATTTTTTTTTCTTCAAAATTCTTCACCATTATGTGCCATTTTAATTCAGCAAACATTCTTTGAGTTTATTAATTTGCACTAGCAAATTATTCTGCGTCAAATTTCGTTGATGCCAAAGAAATTAATAAAAAAGAATTCGATTGATTTTTGTTGGCTTTTGAAAAAAAAACGAACGAACATGAATGTGCTGTCACGTATTCAAATTACAAATCACATGTGGATGAATGTGACAGACTGTGTGTGTGTGTGTGTGTGTGTGTGTGTGTGTGTGTGTGTGTGTGTGTGTGTGTGTGTGTGTGTGTGTGTGTGTGTGAAGAGAGATGGTTGTATTGAAATTACAAAAATGTAAATATCGTACATTAAAATGTGTAAATACGAAATACAAATGTGTGTGTGAATGTAAAACATACACACGTGCAAATACCTACCGGACAAACAAGTTTGTACGCGCGCTGGCACACACACACACATTCTCCACACGAGATGGCATATGAATTGCTGGCTTACGTGCTGCATTCAACGATGATGACGTTACGAATGAAAGTTGATTGCTTGAAATATATCAAAATTTTTAAAAATGATAAGAAAAACAACGAAAACAAACCGAAGAATAATTATTGGGCGATAATAAAACACCAATAAAATGATCGTGACATGAAATATCATGCAAACATGGTTCGATGAAGCGGGAAAAAAAATGACGTCACTAAATCTTGGGCTAAATTACGATCCTTTTGCTTCTTTCAGTCCTTTTCTCTGAATTTAAATAATCGCCAAGAGATTTATGACTTTTATCGTTTGGTTAAACAACTGTTGAGAACTAGAGAGAGAGAGAGAGAAGGAGAGAGAGAGAAAGAGCGAGAGAGAGAGATAAATAGAGCACCGAACGAGCAAATTAAATGAAGCGTAAAAATTTAACGTTCCAGTTACGTCAGCGTCACGTGATATTGACTGTTGCATTTATCTGGCGCTTGATTCTGCAAGCGGGAGAAAGTGACGGGAGAAAGAAAGTGTGATTAGTGCTAGTAATTGTGGTCTGATGTATTTGAGTGGGCCAGTGACGTTTTCTAGTTTTGATGTGTTGTTCTTCTTACTGTGAGGTGTTTGTTGGTTGGTAGTGTTGTGGTTTTTTGAGGAAAAATGTTTCATTTTTGTTGTTGAATTTATTTTTGCATTGATTCGTTGCGATTGTAGTACGGTGGGATTGCTGTTTCTTTGAGTTTCGGTGTTTAATACTGTCACTGGGGCTTATTATACAAACAAGGAAGAGGCATTTAACAGAAATGACATTATGCTTGAACGAATGTATGTATGAATGTTTGTGTAATGTATGTTCGTATGTATGTGCGTATCTATGTACGTATGTATGTTTGTGTGTACGTATGTATGTATGTTTCTGTTTGTATGTATGCAGACGTCAAGAAAGCAGTGATTGTGTTGAGTGATGGTGGAGTGAGCAGGTTGTTGGTTGTGAGTTGGACTGTCAATTTATCAATTGGACCTGAACGAGCGGTTTGATGGCTGGCTTAGTAATTCGAACGTGTCGCTCAGTCAATCACGCCAGCTATTCTCTTCGGCTCCCCCTGTTTGTTTGTTTGGTTTATAATCTTTAGTTTTTTTTTCTTTTGCTGTTTTCTGCAGTTTTAATGTTTGTTTTTTTGCTGTTCATATATTGTTTTAATATCGATAAATACACATTCAAACATACATACAAACAATCATACATACAAACATACATACAACCATACAGACCTTGAAATACACACACCAATATACAAACAAACATACAAAACATACAATGTCTGTATTATGTATTATTTGAACATTTATATTTTTCTGTACATTCAATCATTCTAAAAAAACGCCATTGCAAACTGATCATATTAAACACTCGAAACAAACTGATCATATTAAACATTCAATTAAACATACTGCATGTTTTAAATGATTAACACAAATATTATAATTACTCTCTTATGAATATTGAATATTTTATTTTCTCAAAAAATGCAACTTAACACACCTACATATCACAAGTAAGTGGCAAATACTTGAAGACAACTTCTCACGAGTCAACAACGAATGTTAAAATAACGAACGAACAAGCATGAAGCATTATAAGGCGGATACTTAAATAATTTAGCAGAGAAGACGGCACATAAACAAAAAATTAGAAAAACTCTATAGAAAGGTTTCTACAAAATTTTGAAACAAATGCAAAAAAAGTCATCTTTAAAAACAAACAAACAAACAAAACAAACAAAACAGAAGATCATTCCAGCAAACCCTCGAGCGATTGCAAGTTTTTGAAAAGTAGAAACAGAAAAAAAAAACAATTGAAAATGCGCATAAGAACGACTGAACTCATGACATGTTCCCCGTCTGTTTAATCATTTGTATGTTTGTTTGTATATTGGCATGTGTATTTTAAGATTTGTATCTTTGTATGTTTGTTTGTTTGTATGTATGTTTGTTTGTATGTACGTTTGAGTGTGTATTTATCGATATAATATGTGTATATGTATTTGGATATGTCTTTACCACATAACCAAATGTTCTATCTTGCATTTCTGTATGAATAATATTCCAGAAAACACTTTTGTATAATGCGTATTCTTTGCGTATTATTTGCTCATAAGTGCTTGTTATTTACATCTGTAGCTAGGTCTTCTTCTTTTTGTTTGAAAATATATAGGTGTGCATGCAACTTTAAATCAGAGGTCTTGAAAGGAAACACACACACACACACACACCACACAAACACCACACACACACACACACACACACACACCACACATACACACACACCACACACACACACAAACACAGAGACGCACATACACACACGCACACACACACATACACATATACACACAAACATATATATATATACCCTATATACAGTTTTGTATTTATACATTAGAATGTATTGTATACATATAGATAAAGACGCAGTACTCTATAGACCCGTCTTAGTATTAATAGAGTTTCTCCACTTTCACAGAATGCTATTATCGTCTGGGCAGTTTTCGCGATCTTTTTTATCTTGGTCGGTTGGCTTGGCTTAGAGTTATTGTTAATATTATTATTAATTATAGTTAATATTATAATTTAATAATAATAATAATAAATATTTTTTTTGTTTTTGTTGTTTATTTTAGATATTTTCATTTAACGATACACGTTTTAAAAATTACTAAATAACAACAACAATAATAATAATAATTATAATAATAATAATATAAATAATAATATAACTAATAATATAAATAATAATAATATCAGAGCTAATCAACTGGCTTCAGTAAATGAACCATCAAAAGCAACTTTAATTTAAATTTGACAGGTAGGTGGCAATGGCAAAGAAAATGAAAGACACACTTCCCGCTTTCATCATCATCAGGATCATCATCAACATCCTCATCAAGATCATTACTGCAATCACCAATCCCATCACTATCATCACTAACATCATTATCAACACTAACTTTAACGCTATCGTCATCATCGCTGCCTACATCGCTATCATACTGTTGGCTAGTTTTCAAAATGGTGTGTTTGCCGGAAGCTTGATAAAAGATCATGAATCTTTGAGGATAACGAATGAAACGCATTTGGAGTTTAATTTAGATGATGAATTTTATTCAGAGTACAA